GCACGCGACTCCATCCGTGTTGAAAAAAAATAAAAGAAAGTAGCCTATGTGTTCTTCCAGACTATCCTCTACATCTGTGCCAAATTACATCGAAATCCGTTCAGCCGTTTAGGCTACAAACTCTAACAAACATCCGTCCATCTAAACTTTCGCATTTATAATATTAGAAGTAAGATTATAATTATTTTATTCATTTTAATATATTTATTGATTGTAAAATAGTTTCGACCCACCACTAACGTAGTGGCCAGACCTACGTTTTTATAAATAAAAATAACAAATATATATTTATCTTTCTGCCTACCCTAACCTATATTTACTGACATAAATTTCATTCATTTACATGTCGAGTAAATAACTGATATTTTATTAAGTAATTACTTAAATTATTATTTACATGTTTTAATACGATTTAGATAAAATAAAATTAACGTGTTGTGTGAACGCACCTTTAAAACATCACAGAAAAATTTCAATATGAAGATCCCGGATTAACGTTAACAAGGGCCAGGAGCCAGACCCGACAAAGCCTTTGTTATATATTGACCACCGTAAAGAAATAGAGCGCATTAAAACTCCTTGAGAATACAAAGACTGGCCTTATGCAATATTGTTATGTTGGTACTTAACACGACTGGACGGTTTTATCTTACAAAACATCACTATAACCTAAAAACAATCAAAACTAAATGTATTACTAGATATTTAAAAACAAACTAGTTACTTCACAATCTAAATGACAAATTACTTTAGAGTGACTTTCGTTACGAAAGTTTTGTAGTTATCGTTGGACCAAAAAAACGTTTATAAAATGTGTAAAATGTAAAAAAAAACTGCATATAAAAGGAATATTGAACTTACCGTCTTTACCGAAAAGAGTCTTCAAGCTTTTTTTTCGAAAAGAAACCAAGCATCATGCTTCTAAGCCTTAATTCAAAATTATAAAAAAATACAAAACAATTCAAAAACAAGCAAATCTTTTAACGTTTACACTATAAATTACAAATAATTAACAACGACCACAGAGCTTAAAATTAAAACCGTTTTTCTTTTTCAATGTCACAGATAAATAATTAAATACCCGCCATCATGAAACAATGACGTCAACCGAAGTTGGGGGCGCTAGTGTGCTCTGTAGAAAAGAAATATGATCAAAGGCGAGGCATTTTCATACGACGCCGATATAATACCACTATTAGAAAATTGGATTTGCCTCTTATGATTGACGACTTTGCCGCCTGGATATGTCTGTTTAGGTTTATATTTCAGACGATTATTTTAATAAAGATATTAAAAATTATTTCCTCAAAATATCTACATAAAAATATGTAATGTGAATAACTTAATAAACTTCTTTAAGTGTTTACAAGTTGATTTAGTACTTTTTACTTTTTTTTATAACATTTCATTCAAGCAAAATACCTAATTGTCTACCGCTTTTATCCAAAAGCAATACGTATATGAAAAACCTTGTAGTTTTTTACGTCATAGTTTAAATAAATCATTGCTTTCGTACAAACTGACACGTCTCAAACAGTGGATATATGGAGGTGCTACTTAGCGGATTCTTAGGGGTTGAAGTTTGAGGGCTGAGGGCTGAGGGCTGAGGAGGGCGCGGTGTATAACCGAGATGTATCACCGTATCACGAATGATGGAACCTTAGTAATGCTTGGCAAGTATGGAAGACACTTTTTAAATTATCTTTTTATATTTTAAATTCATTTTAAATTATTTATTTTCATTCAGATTTATTCATAGATTTTTCATCTATCCATGAATATTTCTATTAATATAATAAAGTGTAAACACACATTTCTTTGTTGCCTAAGATGTCAGCAAATACAGTATATTTTTAAATAATTCTTTTTTCAATAAAAAGCCCTACACTTACGTCACGCTTTAGGCTATATATTTTAACGCCATTAAACTTAGGGGGTAAATATTTTGGATAAAAACCCTAATACGCTAAAGAGACCATAAGTTGCTGACAACATGAAGTAAGCAAGGTTGCCATGGTTTGTCATCATGTCAAAATGACATCATTTTGACATTTGTAATTGATAATTTGACAAATGTAAACAATAAAATAAATTTTTCATAATTCCATGCGGATGAAGTCGCACGGGAACAGTTAGTACTAAATATGAAATGTGTTATGTAGTAATGAAACGAATCTTGAACAATTCGCTTAGTAAGCGCCGCTTACAATCTGACAGATGTAAAATTAATGGAATTACAAGTTTAAGCTTAGCCTTATTGATTTATAGTTATTTATGAATTTGCAAAGGTTTCTGATTAAATTAAAATAGCGAAAGAAAAGCTCTTGCCATTTTAATGTAGCCATCAAACACCGCTCCGTCAGTATTTTACACAAACCTGCAAATATAATAAAAGCCGCTCAGACTCCACCCTCATAACACACGCCGTATATTTAAGAAGATAAATCTATAAATCTTGTCTTATATACATTTTAAAATCTTTAAATTGTCGCATTTGTAGGTATACAATCCTAATATTATAAAGAGGAAAGATTTGGTCTTTTGGATTTTTGCATCATCACCAGCTCACTATAGTCCCCACCGAGGGGCTCGGAGCCTACCCTAAGTTAGGGTGACTAGGACATAATCAACCACGCTGCAATGCGAGTTGGTTGACTTCACATATCTTTGAATTTCTTCGCTGATACGTGCAGGTTGCATCACGATGTTTTCCTTCACCATAAGAACGTCGGGTAAATTATGATTTTTGCATGTAGAGATCTATGTAGATTAAAAAAAAAACTTATCTGTTTGTAATTAGGATAAATTTAGGAATTACAAAACATAATATGGTCACTAAAAAACTGTATATTGAACTAAGTACATAGGAGACTAAACTAGATAAGACTATGTTTTTGGTATTATCTATGGTTTAAACATATGTATTGTGTAGGTAAATTTATTTAGAAAAATCGTATAAAAAATTAATTCACAGTAGCAAAAAGATACCATAAAAGTGTTTACCAACGCGAATCAATGCGATCCGATTTTGGATTACATTGTACTGAACTACCCATAGACACGTCTCATTGACTTTCAAACATTATAAAAGATAAATTCAATTACAAATTAGGTTTTATCACCTTTAGAATAGAGATTATTTCTCTATATCAATTTGTATTAAGATAATTTTAAATGTTTGTTGAATTTGTAACTTTAACTCAATGTGTAAGGGTTTATTTTTGTATTTTTTCTTGTTGTTTTGTTAAGTACTAGTGATACTTGTTCATTATAGTCCGCCACCCGCGGTGTTTGTTTGAAGAACGCCGCTTTTTTCTATCTACCTTCACTTTTGTTGATTTTTTTCTCTTTTATATTATTCTATTATCAAACGTGGACTAAATACCGAACATAATGAGTTTAAATATTGGATAATGTTTTGTTATTTTCGGGGGCTGTCATATTTGATTCTTTGTTGCGTATTTTGTGTTTGTTACAGTTTGTTTTCGCGAAATAAAATAACGATTTGTATAGCTATTGAAGCTGAATATTTAAGGGGGGAATATTTTATTTACCTTCTTTTATATCAGTTAGAATCTGTCCCACCAAATTGTAAATTGTCTGATAACCATCCAACGTGTAACATGTAATGGAAATATCGGATTTTGTTCCCTTATCTGAGTGACGTCATTAAGCTATCTGAGCTTTTATCAGCTAGTGGTGGGACAGGCCCTTAGAGTTATAAGTTTAAGCAAATAATAGAGTAAACAGTCTGTGATAGCTGAAACAAATTGACTTATAAAAGTAGAACGTAAGTAAATAATTTTTAACGGTTTTTGTTACAGAAAGTTAAAAAGCTCCTCCACTTCAAAATGTAAGTATTAGGAAGTTTTCCTTTCTAAGGAAGATCAATTTATGTTGAAAGATAGCTTTTACTATACCACTAGCTACCGCGGTTGACTCAAAAGTAAGTAGCCTATGTGTTCTTCCAGACTATCGTCTACATCTGTTCCAAGTTTTAGCGAGATCCATTTAGCCGTTCCGAAGTAATACGTAGTAACAATAAATTATTTATCTAAGCTTACGAATTTTGATTATTAATGAGATTGCATGGACAACACAAAAAATTGGAATTTGGAATTATAAAAATTGACGGTCAAAATAATGCTTTATTGAAAACTGTGCACATGTGGTGCCATCTGTATTACTACAATGTAATAATAAATTACTATCTAAAAACTTGTAATAGTGACATCTAGTATGTGACAGCAAAACCAACAATTTTTCGTGTTGAATTAAGATAGCATGCCACAAACAGATGGCGCTAATTAAAATTATTGTGTGATAGTTTAGTTAAAGCTGGCGTCCGCTTTAATTCGCCATTCATTGCAAATTTTTTCCAATGGTTTTTCTTAAATCTTAATAAAACACATTTATTTAGAGATAACTTCGTAAACTAACATGTAAATTACAAATCAACTCTTTTCGGTTTACTAATTTTCAAATTTTTCGGTTCCCAATTTTCTTCTATTATTCTCTTCTGGATTATTCTTTTGTAGACGTGCGCTGAGAGACGAGCTGTTCTTGTTTTTTCTTCAGATTCAAAATCAACCTCGTAAAGACCGAAGCGTTCACTGAAAACAAACACACATAGATGAAAGGAGACTACATGAGGCAGAAATGCGAATGTTAACATAAATGTGTAACACTAATGGATAAGATAAGAAATGAGTATATTAGAGTAACTTTGAGAAGCCTCAGTAGTAGAGAAGTTAGGGAGTAAAAGGTTAGCATGCGAGCATGTTATGAGGAGGGATGAATCGCATGTTACAAGGAGAATGTAAGTAAGTTCGTTATAAGTAGACGTAGAAAGAGATGGATGGAGCGTGAAAGGTGACATGATCAAAAAGGGAGTAATGACTGAGATGACGTATGATAGTTATGTGGAGGACAAGAACTCGCTGCGCCGGGAGTAGATAAGGAGAAAGATGATGATGATAACAGTAATAAAACCACAATTGCCCTTCGATCGTTAAAGATTTCTGCCTTAAACTATCAACATCTCATTGGGATTTTAAACGTTTCATAATAAAAAATATAAATCACCTAGAACCAGCGTTCCATTCAATATTGTCGATTAAACTCCAAACAGTGTATCCTTTAACTTCTGTACCGTCTTCTATAGCCAGTAACAAAGCGTTCAGATATCTTCTCATTGTCTCCGCTCTACTTTTATCCCATAAGCCAGTCTTTGTCGACCAACCATTCTCTGTTATGAACATTGTTGGATAATCGTAACGCAAGTTGAGGAATATACACATCTTGTATAAACCATATGGAGCACTCTGGAATTAGATAAATAATTAAATGCATTGAAAATACCTCTTTTTTATAATTTCAGTATATTAAGTCGCTAAAAATGTTAACTTGATCATGTTATGGTAGACTTAGATATATTATCTATACTTCTATACTATTATAATAAAGCGTAAACACACACTTCTTTGTTGCCTAAGATGTCAGCAATTACAGCATATTTTTGAATAATTCCTTTTTGTAATAAAAAGCCCTACACTTACGTCATGCTTTAGGCTATATATTTTCACGCTACTAAACCTAGGGGTTAATATATTGGATAAAAACCCTAATGTGAGAAAGAGACCATAAGTTGCTGCCAACATCAAGAAAGCAAAATTGCTATAGTAAGGTAATTGGTATTTTGACATTTGGAATTGATTATTTAACACATATTAACAATGAAATAACATTTTCATAAGTTTATGCGGATGAAGTCGCAGGGGGACAGCTAGTTAAAAATAAACAAGTAAAAAAAAATGAGAATAGCGCCATCTAGTTTAAATAAACAACATACTCTTAGCCAATAAGACGCGGATTGCTCCCATTGATCACCAAACACAATTTCTACACCCATGTCATCCGCGTACGAAGGCGAATGAATATTTTTAGTACTAGGTTTGATTAGGAATGTCGTATAATGGTTAATTCCAAGGAAATCCGCTGAACCTGAAAAAAACAATTAAATTAATAACACACTGGCTCTAATAGTTCTATTAAAATATCTTTTAACGTATAGATTAATAAAATATGGTATTTATACATATTTTAATAGTTACGTAATTTTCCAATAGATGGCGTTAAACAGCTTTTTTTTAATTTTATTTAAAATCACACTTTTCAAATCTTTTTTTAAAAGAGTAATGGTTGTCTAGTGTGCCATAAAAATAAAAGCATTGTTGCATCATATGGGGCTTCGCTTGCCCTGACTAAGGGACCTTTTAGTGATCACTTAACGATTGATTGGGAAGCAAATTAAATTCTTTAACTGTACATAGAGCTGTCCATAATTTAATTATTTTACGTTACATTTATTTACCTTTCAGTAACTTTATTTCTTCATGGCTTAGTGTTGGCAATCTGGATCTATAAAAGCCTTGTTGTTTGCTCTTTTTCTCTATGGTTTTTTTAACAATCGATGGAAAATCGCCATTCTTTGACCAAATAGGATCCAAATATAAGCCTATCTGAAAAAAGACGCATATCTGTTTTAATAAATTTTCACATGAAACGTAAAAGAGTAATTTATAAAAAAATCACATACATCAAATTCTCGATACTTTTCTACAGCTTGGACGTTTTCAGTTTTATTATTTAGTGGGTCTGACCAATTTATTGACATCGATATCCCAACAGATCCTGAAAAGTTATGTGAATTATAAAAAAAAAGATAAATTCAATATCATAATTAAAAAAGTAATATCAAATTCATGGCTTTACAATTACGCAGTTTACTTGTGAAAAGAGAATGACCAAGTATATTATTCGTACCAACAAACTAGCAACTTATACTGGTTGTCTAGACTGATTTATTTTATTTACAAAAATGTGCATGTATATATGTCAAAAAAACGCAATAAATACGCCATTCACCATGTTATTAATACAAAAATAATTTGTTGAATCTCATTAGCTATTTTCTGACAAATTACAGATTTAAGATTTTTTGTATTTGGTGGAATACTGAAAACCCTACTAATCGAGTCAGTTTATTAAGTTTTGTGGTATAATATGAAAACAAAGTCCATAATTGAATGGTCAAACTTATTTATCAAGATGGTACTATAACAATTACCTTTAAATTTCTTTTTAAATTCTTTCTCATATAACCTATAAACTTTAGCATGTGCCAGTAATATGTTCTTTGTACACTCATATTCACTAACACCTTTTGCATTAATTGCTGGCGCTAAAATAGTGTCACCGTATCCGAAAACACAGATAGCATTTGGTTGGTTTATAGTTATCCAATAAGGTACTTTATGTGCGTATTTATTGAAAACTACCCTCGCATAATCTACAAACCAATCGATAGATAAAGGGTTAACCCAGCCGCCTAGATCTTGTAACTTTTGCGGCAAATCGAAATGGTACAAAGTGATCATTGGTGTTATATTATAATGTAATAGTTCGTCTATCAGGTTATCGTAGTATTGGAAACCATGCTCGTTTTGGTCGTGAGGGAAACCTGGAAATAAAGGTAAGTTTATTAGTAAAATGTTATAATAATCCGGCTCGAAGGACCATGTCGGAGTGGACTATGAAATGGCTGTATAAATGATTAAAATTGAGGCGTTCGACAATTACAGTTTTTTATTCTGTATTGTCATAGACAAAATTATGTAGTTTTTTTTTAATTTGGTGTTGCACGCACCAACGGATATTTTCTATCTGTTGTTTAAACACTGGCTTCCTAATAGCCGCGTATAGAACGGATGACAAAATTTTTACGTTCGGAGTATAAACGTGGTTTTATTTTTAAGATGCAAAATTAAATGTCATTTCAGTATTCAACTGTTTGTTGTGACAAGTAATGTAATTTCTATTACCCTACTTGGCTATAATTGTTTAAAGGCCTGTCTCACCACTGGCGGATAGGCTCAGATAGCTGAAACAAAACCCGATATTGCCATCACATATTTGATAGGTTGGTTGTTATCAGACAATTAACAATTTGGTGGGACAGGCCCTAAATATTGTGTACTCTAAGAGGTTATTTATTCCATGCAGTATGTTGCGTTTAAAAATAATAAATGCGATTTATAATATGCTCAAAGACATGTCATGTTGTGATTTTCGAATGTTTGCTAATCTTACTTCTTACTAATATTATAAATGTGAAAGTTTAGATGGATGGATGTTAGAGTTTGTAGCCTAAACGGCTGAACGGATCTCGATGAAGTTTAGCATAGACGTAGAAGACAGTCTTGAACACATAGGCTATTCATTTTTGTTTTTGTCAATTCCACGCAGACGGAGTTGCGGGCGAAATGTACTCAATAATGTTTGATTAAAAAACCCAGTTTTTATATTTTTATTGTGTACCATTTTCTAATGATGAAACAATAGTGGTCAGTGAAAGAGATTTTTTTTAATAACATCGTTTTTTAATCTGTAAAACGAAGTCTTAACTCACCAGATGGCAGCACCCTCGGCCATGATATAGAGAATCTGTAAAAATCAACTCCAAGCTCCCTCAGTAATTCAACATCCCGTTTGTAATTGTGGTAGGAATCGCTAGCTACGTCACCATTCCTACCATCCGTTACCAATTCCGGATGATTATGTAAATATCTGTCCCATATACTTTCACCTTTGCCTAAAAAAGATATACAAGTCACAAAAAATCACGGATAAAATTTTTTCCATTTGATTAGTGATTTTCTAATAATCCTGTAGTTTCCTAACCTTAATCCCACTTCTCATTATTATTATAAATGCAAAAGTCTAGATGGATGGATGTTTGTTACAGTTTGTAGCCTAAACGACATAACGGATTTTGATGAAATTTAGTATAGATGTAGAGGATAGTCTGGAAGATCACTTTTGTTTTATTTAAATTCTACGCGGACGAAGTCGCGGGTGAAAGCTAGTTTGAAATATATTTTAGACGTAACTAATCTATGATTGTTACGTTTTAAATATATTTTATATGTGTTTTATCTTATCAGAAATAACACGCTAACATAGATTATATTCAGTTATTGTTAATTCCTTGGTATTATGGATAAAACTAGGTCATATTTTACCATTATTGATATAACTTCCCGGCGTTTCTTTCTATCCAACCAGTATTATTGCTCTTGGGTTTCTAAAATACATAATTACATTTATAATCCTAAGGCTGTCAAATTAAATGTTTATTTTGATTTATGACTAAAAAAAGTTAGTAAAGGACTTAATCATGTCATGTAAAATTTAAATCCTAATCCCAAATTACGATATACTAGCTGTTGCCCGCGACTTCGTCCACGCAATATTAAGATAAAAAAGTAAACCATAATATATCCGTCAATGTCAGCTATCCTTTAGTGAAAGTCCGGTCGGAATCGACCCAGCCGTTTCGGAGATTACCCAGAACAAACGCGGCTCGCGGACAGACAGACATACAAAAAAACAATGCAATTTTAGTTATCAGCAACGAAAATACATCATCTTCCCGATATCTAAAAAAATTCTTTTCATATTACAAACAGATACTCCAATTTTATTATATATATAAAAGATATATATTAACGGACATTTCAATTGGTACGTCTAGAATGAAAATACTGTTTTGTCCAACATGCCAACCCCATCAGCGAGTACAGATCTGGTAACGTATGCAAACAAACTAACATTAATTTTTAAATACATATCGAATAAAATCGTGAATCAAATGTCATACCATCGATATCCCATGCCCCTTCTACTTGATAAGCTGCTGTTGAGACGCCAAACTTGAAGTCATTTTTGAACCTCCTCTGCTTGCCGTCACTCCAAGCATCTATTGTTACAGCACTGAAGATGTCATAATAACACTGTTTAATAAAGGGGACAATGGACTGTTATCTCCTTAGAGCAAGTAGCCTACATATTCTTCCAGACTATGCTCTACATCTATGCCAAATTTAATCGAGATCCGTTCAGCAGTCTAGGCTACAAACTAGACTTTAACATTTATAATATTGGTAATATCTAAAATACTAAGGTTACTACAATCCCTAGAGTCTTAAAGATAACTCAAAAATGACATATAAATTTTTCATTAAAGGTTTCTTTGGAAATAAAACAAACTGTCCATTCTGTGAATGTTTTTTTATAAAAAAAAAAACGTATATAATTAGAATGACTTACCAAAATATCACAATAAAGAAAAATGATCTCATGTTTTTTTATAATTTATATTATTATAGATTATTTTTTAAAATTGAACAAAGAAACATCGAACTGTCTTTTCAATCCGAATAGGTTAAAAGCAAGTATTATACTAATCAATATTAATTAATTTCCAGCTGATAAAATTATCAATTACCAGTTACATTATCTTATACTTAAAATGCTGTCTGAGTACGATAAAGTAATTGGTAGTTTTTAAACTATTCTACTGTTAATTCAATACTAAAGGAAATTTAAGATTTAGTGGTTTCATTATCACCAAGAACACCCGTCCCCACCGAGGGTGTTAAACTTAACACATGGCAAGACATGTTAAAGATTGGAGGCGGGGTGAATGGAAAACGATCGATTGCGAATTAAAAAAATATATTTCTTTTTACATATTTATTATATAAATTGTCATATATCAAAAAAAGAACAAGTCAAAAATAAAAAGATAAAAAGCGTTCGATATTTTAAAAGTTGTAACTTACAACCTTGTTTCTTAACAGAGGGGCTCGGAGCCTATCCTAAGTTAGGGTGACTAGGCCATAGTCAACCACGCTGCACTGCGGGTTGGATGACTTCACACATATCTTTGAATTACTTCGCCGATGTTTTCCTTCACCGTAAGAACGTCGGGTAGATTATGTACATATGAAAATTCGAAAAATCGAAAATCACATTGGTACAGCGGGATTCGAACCCAAGACAAGACAACATTGTAGATTACAAGTGAAGTGCTTAAACTACTGAGCCACCGACTGACACTTTACTGGTTTGGTAAACCCTTAATTCGACAGAGTTTTTAGTAGCAAACTAATAGATTTTTTAAATCAGTTGTCCGTCACACTGGAGGCCATCGAATTAAGGGTTTTTTTTTATAACATAAGGTGGCAAACGAGCAAGCGGCCACCTGAATCCGCCAAAATGGCGAAGCGACAACTGCCCATAGACATCCGCGATCGCCAATGCGTTGCCTACCCTTGTCCGATGGAGGAGGAGACGCACATAAAGAGGATATTGCCCCTTCCTATGCATCTTCTCCACCGCCAAAAGGGCGGTAAAGAGAAAGAGACTTCAATTAGGCCTCCGGCACCACACTCATCAGACGAAACACGGAATTGCTTCCATTTCACGCCTGTCTTCTGTGTGGTCGTGGTATTACACCGGGCGTGCCGGCACTGCAGTGCTAAGATGTTAAAGCGGGCACTACCACTGTTAAATTGATAAAGGGTTGATTAACTTGGATTTTCAAGTGTAAATAAGTGTTATTGTCTAACGAAATAATTGTTCCTATAGTCTCATTCTTGGATTTGAAGAGTTTCAACATCTCAAGAAGCTCTCGCTGAACATTGCTAAACTGTTTTGGGCCAGATAAAAGGCTGTAATTTTCAAACCGCATGTTGTGAGGAGATTTTTCTTTGGAGTCTTGACCATTGGCTGTTTTAGACATAGGGTAACGCAGAGCTATGTTTCATCTAAAATATTTTATTTAATACAATACTAGCTGTTCCCATGCGGCTTCATCCGCATGACATTATGCGAATTTTATTAATACATTGATAGCAAATGTAAAAATTACAAACCTTGGCAATCTTGCTTCCTTAATGTTGGCAACACCTTATGGTCTCTTTCCCACATTAGGGGTTTTAACCAAAATATTTACCCCCTAAGTTTAATAGCGTGGAAATATATAGCCTAAAGCATGACCTAAGTGTAGGGCTTTTTATTAAAAAAAAGAATTATTCAAAGATATGCTGTAACTGCTGACATCTTAGGCAACAAAGAAGTCTGTGTTTACGCTTTATTATAATAGTATAGATGCATTAAAACATTTTTGACAAAGGAAGCCCTTAGATGTATTGATCTGTTATCTAATCAGTCGATAAGTTTAGAGTGTTTTTTGTATAAACAAGTTGTTTGCGAATGTTACCATTTATCAGATGACGTCTGTTATCTCGAGTGGTAACTGCAGGGGCCTGTTTTAAAGTGTTTTAACATTTTGCATACAATGCGAAAGTTTAAAAGATTTTTTCTTTTAAATGACGTCATCAAGAAACAAAATTTGTTGTTGGCAACTTGTCTTAATGTTAAAATAAAAAGAACAAATTATTCTTGAACTACTATACTATGCTTCTTTACTATTATAATAAAGCGTAAACACACACTACTTTGTGGCGTAAGATGTCAGCAAACACAGCATATTTTAGAATAATTGTTTCTTTTATAAAAAGCCCTAAAGTTACGACACGCTTTAGGCTATATATTTTCACGCTACTAAACTTAAGGGGTATGTAAATTGGAAAAAATCATTCATGTGGGAAAGGGACCATAAACTACAAGCTACCAACATTAAGGAAGCAAGGTTATTATGGTAACGGTAATTTTGACAATTGACAATTTGAATGTAAACAATAAAATAAAGTTTTTATAATTTCATTTGATGAAGCCACACGCGAACAACTAGTATATTAATAAAATAAAACTATGTTACGATTTTGTTCGAATCTATTAAATTGGTTTTAAAAATGTCCTGTTTCAATCCAAGCAATAACTGGCAATAAAAGAGCGTAGAGATTGAAGATTAAAAAATAAAACTACACATAGACAATTTTAACATTTTATTGTTTCGTTCAACGTTCACTTTCCTTCGTCTATGGTCATGGTCATTGAGGAAGGTTCGTATTCATGGTCAACAACGCGGGTCCTTACCACCTCTTTGTAAACGAACGCAGACTTCCTCGGCGTGCGTGTCCTAGCCGGGTCTTCGAAATCAACCTCGTAGAGTCCGAAACGTTCACTGGAAGAAAAAGTATGTTTATAATAACAAGTAACAGAGTTTCTTCAATAAACTATTATATAACAACTGTTTAGTCTCGCTTTGATTCCTATGATCTTATATGGAGGTGCACACTACTCGATTTTTAGTTGTGTAAGAAAACAGAATTGGCTGTGAAACAATCGACACTCTCAGAACAGTTGTGCGATTGTTTTGTCAAAAGTATGCGCTCTAAATTTTGCCCAATTCTGGTCATCGCCAGGACTATATAGATCGACTAGCTTTCGCCCACGATCCCGTCTGCGTGGATTAAAAAAAAAACAAAATTGAGTAGCCTATGTGTTCTTCCAGACTATTCTCTACATCTATACCAAAATTCATCAAAATCCGTTCAGCCGTTTAGGCTACAAACTCTAACAAACAGCCATCTAAACCTTGCATTTATAATATTAGTATGATAGTTGTTATGATGAAAGTTTAGATGGATGGATGGACGGATGTTTGTTAGAGTTTGTAACCTAAACTGCTGAACGGATTTCAATGAAATTTGACTTAGATGTAGAGGTTAGTCTAAAAGAACATATAGGCTACTTGGTTTTGTTTTTTTAATACCACCCAGACGGAGTCGCGGGCGAAAACTAGTATGTATAAAGCTAAGATAGTGATATGCCTCATAGAGTTTGAATAATTAAGAAGAGAAACTCACGTATATCCTTGCATCCATTCGAAGTTATCCATCAAACTCCAGGCCATGTATCCTTTAAGGTTGACACCAGCGTCCAACGCGTCTAGAACATTCTCCAACGCGGCGCGATAGTACCGCACTCTATCGTCATCTACCAGACCAGCTTCCAGTCTAGTAGACCATCCGTTCTCGGTTATGTATATTACTGGATTGTTGTATTTCTCTTTTATAAGCAGTAAAACGTTTAGAAGACTATCAGGCATTTGCTGAAAAAAAAATACTGTTGAGAGAAATTTCATTAATTCAAAACAAAATACTAAAGACCGATAAGAATTATTTCAATAGTTCCGTAAAGCAGAGTACAAAATCACGTTCGCTGTATAAATATGATGTTTTTTTATTGATATTCCAAACATTAAACCGGTGGAACTACTTAAATCTTATCAAATATTAATAAAAAACATCGAAGAAGTCTTTATTTTATTAAAAACTAGCTTTAAGTAACTGGTAGCCTGTGTTCTTTCTAGACTATTCTTTACATCTATGCCAAATTTCTTCAATCCGTTAAGCAATCAAGGCTAGAAACTCTAACAAACGTCTAAACTGTCTTAATTATAGTTAATACTAGCTTTCGCCCGCGATTTCGTCTGCGTGGAATTAAAAAACAAAAGAAAGTAGCCTACGTGTTCTTCCAGACTATCCTCTTCATCTATCCCATAATCGAGATCCATTCAGTTTAGGCTACAAACTCTAACATCCATCCATCTGAACTTTCGCATTTATTAGTAAACTAGCTTTCGCCCGCGACTCAGTCTGCGTGACATTTAAAAAACAAAAGAAAGTAGCCTTTGTATTCTTCCAAACTATCCACTACATCTAAGTCAAATTTCATCGAGATCCGTTAAGCCGTTTAGGCTACTAATTGTAACAAACATCCATCCGTCCATCCATCCATCCATCCATCCATCCATCCATCCATCCATCCATTTAAACTTTTGCATTTATAATATTAGTAAGAAATAAAATTATAACCTTACCTTTAACCAGACTGAGGCTGCTGCTGGCCAGTCGCTAGACACGGAGGTTCCCACATTAATATCATCGTGCATCGAAGGTACAGGGTGTTCCTGTAGGTTTTCAGTACCAGAAACATAAACGCCAGTATAATGGTTAATACCAAAGAAATCGTACGCGCCTCTCATGAATTCAATCTCTTCTTGAGTAAACTCCGGCATACGAGACTTCGAGTAACCTTGTTCTATGCTCTTTTGGTTGACAACTTCCGTCAACTCTTTAGGGAATCCACCGCTCTCTGAGAAAATCGGCTCGGAATAGATGCCCCACTGGAAAAGACCAAATTTAAGTAATAGGTACAATAGCGGGCACATTTGACTAAAACGGTTGTGCGATTGTCGATTGTTTCGCAGCCAATTCAACTGTTTAGTTGCACAACTAAAAATCGAGTAGTCTGCGCCTACATACACTGCCAGCCAAAAGTTTGAGACCACCTTGAAAAACAATGCCCATTTATGGCATAGTCATTGTGTAAAAGATAAGAGAAATGGTGTTTAGACATTCAAAATGATTAGTAGATTACACAGGTGTTCATATTGTTATGTTATACGCAGATTTAAAATATTTTGCTAATAATAACCTGTGTACAAAGTGGTCTTAAACTTTTGGCCGGCAGTGTATAAGCTCGTAGGAATCCAAGCGAGACTAAACAGTTATGCCATAGATTAATCAAAAGTGTACGCTTTTACAGAAGGAATAAAATTAAAACTAATTAAAAATAGAATTTAGGTTAGATTTTTGAAACACTTACATCAGCTTGTCTCATCAACTCGGTTGCAAATTCATCTTCCTTTGAATCAGTTAAAGGCTCACTCCAGCCCACCGAGTAAGTAATTCCACAAACACCATCATCTCCAGCAAACTCCTTTTTATATAGATGATATGCATTAGCATGTGCTAGAACTAAGTGTTTCGCGCACAAATATGCCCCAATTCCAGTAGCATTTAGCATCGGTGCCATAGTCACTGTATCATAACCTTGGTAACACACTTCTCTAGGCTCGTTAAACGTGATCCAATATTTAACTCGATCACCGAATAGATCAAAAACTACACGGGAATAATCTTCAAACCATTGCGGGAAGAGAGGGTTGAGAAAACCTCCTAAATCTTGCAATTTTTGAGGTAAATCCCAATGGTAGAGTGTTATCATTGGTTTGATGTTGTATTTCACCATTTCATCGATGTAATTATTGTAGAATTGTACACCAGCGTCGTTGATTCTGTTTGAGAAACCGTCGGGGAGAATCCTAGGCCAAGATAATGAGAATCTGTAAGCATCTAGACCAAGTTCCCTCATCATTTCGACGTCTCTCTTGTAGTTGTTATAAGTGTCGGCTGCGATATCACCATTGCTTTGGTCTTTGATTACAGTTGGGTTAGTGTGGGTCATACGATCCCAGATGTTTTCGCCTTTGCCTGTTAAAAAGTAGACTTATAAATATTAGGAGTTACCAAAGTCGTAGAGGATCAAAAGCCAATAGGACCCATCACACTTACAGTCTTTATAATACGTTAAGAGCGAGCACACAGCTTTGACTAAACTATCAAACTGTTGTGTGTTTGTCGATTGTTTCGCAGCCAATGCAACTGTTTATAACCTCATAGGAATCAAAGCGCGACTAAACAGTTGTGTAATAGTTGAGTCAAAGGAGTGCGTAGACCCATCCAGTTCAGGATACACTGGTCGATTAAATATCGTAAATGCTATAGATTTATATAGTTAAAACTAGGGCTGTCACAAATAAAAGCTCTAACTGGGGATGGCCAGAGTTATGTTTTGAAACTCGGAGCGTCAGCTTTAGAATAGCTAGAAATAAGAGGGTCATTCATACTAATATTATAAATGCAAAAGTTTAGATGGATAGATGTTTGTTAGAGTTTGTAGCCAAAACGGTTGAACGGATTTCGATGAAATTTGGTATAGATGTAGAGAATAGTCTGGAAGAACACATAGGCTAATAACTTTTGTTTTTTTATTCTATGCGGACGGAGTCGCGGGCGACAGCTAGTAGACAATATAACTCACCATCAGCATCCCAACCTCCTTCTATTTGATAAGACGCGGTCGCGGTACCGAATATGAAGTCGTCTGGAAACTTCCTCTGCTGCCTTGTTGTGAACGCATTGCTGCCAATGGCTAGCAGACTGAAATTTGACGTAAATCGTACGTTAATTACGGTATAGTAGCTTAGGTATACGATGACGTAGTTAAAGCCATCTTGAGGGTAACAATATGAATTGACGTTCTTAATTTCTTAAAAAGGTTAACAGATTTAAGAACTTTTAAGGTGTTTAGCTAGTCATAGGTTAGGTCCGAAGAATCAATAGAAATTCTATATGTTTATTTAATTGTTTTATATATGTAATTAAATAATATTGTTATTACTTTGGTATAAATATTTAATACTAGCTTTCGCTCGCGACTCCGCCCGCGCGGAATAAAAAAAATAAAAGCAAGTAGACTATGTGTTATTCCAAACTATCCTGTACATCTATGCAAAATTTCATCAAGATCCCTTCAGCCGTTTAGGCTACAAACTCTAACAAACATCCATCCATCCATCTAAACTTTTACATTTATAATATTAGTAAGATTAGTAAGATAAGCAATTTATTACTACAAAATGTTTGTTTTTTTTTTACATCCATCTATACTAGTCTATCATCATCTCCCCTGCCTTATCCTACTCCCGTAGGTTCGGCGCACCGGGTTTTCGTCCTCCAAAGCATTCTATCATCCGTCATCTCAGTCATCACTCCCTTCTTGATCATATCACCTTTCACGCAATCCATCCATCTCTTTCTAGGTCTACCTCTACCGATGTACCCCTCCACATTCATAACTAACATCCTTCTTGTTACTTGCGATTCATCCCTTCTCATAACATGCCCATACCACTCTAACCTTTTACTCCTTATTTTCTCAACCACTGGGGCTACTCTAGAACTTCCTCTAATATACTCATCTATACTAGTCTATACTAAATTATAAAGAGGAAAGATTTATATTTTTGTATGTATTGAAATAACTCAAAAAATACTGGGTTGATTTTAAAAATTCTTTCAACATTAGAAAGCTACGTTATCGCAAAGTAACAAAGGTCTTTTTTATTATATTTTTTAATTTCACTCGCGCAAAGTAAAGCAACAGCTTATTTATATGCGTAGTTAAATAATATTGTTATTACTCCGGTATTTATTATATGCAATTTATTAATATTTTTCCTTCTATCCATTAGTAGATAAGATGTATTATTAATTCCGGTATAAAATCGTATACAAACATACCATATGAACACCAGCCACTTCATCTTTGAGAATTCGACTTGTTACATAATTTTTTGTTACGTCCGCTTTTATAATACTATCGCGGGAGGTTAGAGATCGTTGAGGATTACTTAGAGATATTTATCAATTTCGTATCAAAAGATATACTTAAAAAAACATGTCAATCAACAAGCTTACGTCCGTGACTTTGAATTTGTAATCGTGAGTTTTCACTACTGAATAACTTGGTCAAAAACATTGAGCCTTACCATAAAAAAAACCGACTTCCAAACAAAATACTGTTCCTTCTTTTGGAAAGTCGGTCTAAAAATAAGGCATTGTTTAAAATACTGTTACATCATACTATATAAATGCGGAAATTTAGATGGATGTTTGTTAGAGTTTGTAGCCTAAACGATTGAACGGATTTCGATGAAATTTGGCATGGATGTAGAGGATAGTCGGGAAGAACACAAGCTACTTTTTTTTAATGCCACGCGGAAGGTGTCGCGAGCGAAAGCCAGTATTAAATAAAATACACACATCAACCGCGACTTTTTTTTGTTCTTGACTACTTTCTTGTTCTACGCTTTTCGAACAAGGATGGGAAGGGATGATGTATTGGGGATGGAACGCATAGGTAGGGGATATACCCTTTTTCTAATCCCGTCTGTAGAATAAAGGTAGGTAGTAACGCATCTGCAAATTCGAATGTTTACAGGCAGCGGTCGCTTCTCGTTTTTGGAGAAATCCGTTTACCATATGCTATTTTTTCACTTTACATAAAATGGGAAAACTACAATGTCATCCATTTTATTTAAAATATTAACATCTGTGTTACTATAACAGTTTAGAGTTTCCTCTCAAATTTTACTGGAATATTCCACAGTCTGGTAAGATTTCTTAAATCTTAGGTTTCATGAGTTTGCATTTTCGAGCAACCTGAACAAATATAGGTACAAAACTATGTTAGTATAGTGTTGTGTGATCTATGGTATTGTTGTCTCTATACCAACATTAAGAGGCAAGATGTGTATTTTTGTATGCAACGGATAAGCTCAAAAACTACTGATCCGATAACAAAAATTCTTTCACCATAAGAAAGCTACATTATTATTGAGTAACAAAGGCTACACTTAGTGCTAGATTATTTTTTGCGACGGATAGTATAAAAATGTGTGACTAGTCTACAGTTTTACTATTTCTATTTTATCCTATTTTCCTTTCCTTCATCCTATTTTATATTCGATTTTTATTTAGTGAAATTATAAACCGTAAGTTTCTTGTCAATAGGAATTAGGAGCCAATTAGGAACGTAGGCTCTCGGTTTCTTTGTTATATAAATACATCTAAACTAATTTAATTTCGTAAAGCTTTTTTATTCGTAAAAAATAAACAAAATTTAATCGTTTAAAAAACATTTATTTTTTGTATTAATCTATGACTTATTTTCCGTCGTCGATGGTCATCGTGCGTGTCTCTGGTTCGTATTCATGATCTATGACGCGGGTCTTTATAATCTGTTTGTAGACGAAGGCGGATTTGCGCGGCGTGCGAGTGCGCGCGGGATCCTCGAAATCAACCTCGTACAGACCGAAGCGTTCTCTGTAACAAAAATATTAATCAAACCATTTTGAGACAAGATAACACATATAGAATATAGACAACATTTGAAACTAACAAAAAAAAGTGTTATAAATTAAATTGCGTTATTTAAAATTCAATACGAAATGTGACATTTAGAGAGAACGAGTTACACACTATCATAAAACTGCTTCCTTGTTAGTTTATTAAAGAAATCAACTAAGTAATTAAGGAATTAATAATAAAATAAATACTCACGTGTAACCTTCCATCCATTCGAAATTATCCATGAGACTCCAAGCCATGTACCCTTTAAGAGTTATTCCAGCGTCCAAAACGTCAAGCACACTCTCAAGGGCCGCCCTATAGTACGTAATCCTGTCATCATCCTCTAAACCTTCTTCCAATCGAGTAGACCAACCATTCTCGGTAATATAGAATACAGGGCTGTTGTATTTGTTGTTCAAGTACGTAAGCGCGTTCAGAATACTGTCTGGTGCTAGCTAGAAGACAAAAAAGTTTAATTGTAAAATGTCACAGAGACAAAACACTGAGGATAAAATTCTATTCAATCTAGGCTCTTTGTATATGATGTCCTGGTACTTTTTTGTATTTAGTATACTTACTGTCAACCATTTAGACGCAGATTTAGGCCAGTCGTCTGGTACTGATGTAACAGCCCCAGCGTCACCATACAATGAAGGTACAATGAAGTCATTGTCTTTAGCATCGGATACCAAAAACGCAGTGTAATGGTTCACGCCAAAGAAATCAGTTGCGCCTCTAACGAACTCCCTCTCTTCATCAGTAAACTCAGGCATACGCGATCTAGGGTAGCCTTGTTCCAAACTCATTTGAGCGACTTTCTCTGATAACTCTTTAGGGAAACCACCTTCCGCGGAGAATATTGGCTCGGCATAAATACCCCACTGTAAGTAACATTAATACTTATTTTAATCTTACTAATAATATCAATGTTAAATGTATGGATGGATGAATATTTGTTAGAGTTTGTAGCCTAAACGGCTGAACGGATATCAATGAAATTTGGTATAGGTGATAGTCCGGAAGATCACATAGTTACTTACTGTTAGGAATAAAATTAGTACCGTGCTATAGAATTGGCGCAACTCTAGATTTTCGGCATAAACGTCACGTCCCTAGCTGACAGCTGACAGCTGTCAATGTCACTAGAAGTATGGATAGATTGTCGCGTAACTTGAGTCTTAACGAGAAGTATTGCTCTGAGTTAAAAGCGACAGTATCAATTAAATAATTTGTCTAATATTACTCACTTTGGTTCTTTTTATACCACGCGGACGGAGTCGCGGGTGAAAGCTAGTCAGAAATAAAATCTAGAATCTAAAAACAACGTTTAACAGTTCCAAAACTCTAAAGAAGTATTAAGAGAGTGAATTAGGTCATGCAGAGTTTTAGGAACCGTTTTTGCCTTTACCTCAGCTTGTCTGTACAATTCTGCAGCAATTTTATCTTCTTCTGAATCAGTGAGGGGCGGGAACCAGTTCACACTAATAGTGATACCGCACTGACCACCCTGGGTCGGAGCGAAGTCATTCTTGTAAGCGTAATATGCCTTAGCGTGAGCCAGCACTAGACTCTTAGCACAAAGGTACGCACCAATACCAGTTGCATTTAGAATCGGGGCTTTTGTTGTTGAATCATAACCTTCATAGCAGATCTCTCTAGGTTCGTTAAACGTAATCCAATGTTTGACTCTATCACCGAAGTGATCATATACAACTCTTGCGTAATCTTCAAACCATTCAGGGAAAAGTGGGTTGACGAAACCACCCAAATCTTGCAACTTTTGAGGTAAATCCCAATGGTATAAGGTCACCATTGGTGTGATGCCGTATTTAAGCATTTCATCGATGTAATTATTGTAAAAAGCAACACCTGCTTCGCTGACTTTGTTGGACAGACCATTTGGTAATATTCTTGACCAGGACAATGAGAATCTGTAGGCATCTAACCCAAGTTCCCTCATCATTTCAACATCTCTCTTATAATTGTTATAGGAGTCAGCTCCGACATCGCCATTGCTCAGGTCTTTGATGACAGTCGGATTGGTGTGGGTCATACGGTCCCAGATGTTCTCGCCTTTATCTAAAAATTACATTCGAATTTAGACTTTAAACCATTGTAAAAACATTAGTAGATTTGATTAAGTTTACCATCAGCATTCCATCCTCCTTCTATTTGATATGAAGCTGTGGCTGTCCCGAAGAGGAAGTCATCAGGGAACTTTCTTTCTTGCCTCGTAGCTGCATTACAGCTTACAAGAAATCTGTAACAGTTTTTCTATTATTCCCATGCGTGATTGAAGAAATACTTCATTAATAAGTTATATGGCTATCTTATGTCCAGGTCATTGTATAATACTTACCCTAAAAATACTAGTAGCTTCATTTTTATTTTTATCCTTACATAACAATCCGTGGTGGGTATTTATACCATTTGAGATGATTTATCTCTAACGTCCGAGATACGTTAAGCGGGCCACTTGAAATGGTTATCTCAGACACTCGGTCCAACCGGCTATAAAATTGATTACGTTATTCTGCAACTGAATAAATAAATACGCTTCTATTATGTATTAAAGTCAGATTAATTATTTTACTTAAGATGTTTCGAATTTTAGGTATGTGGATGGATGAATGGATGTTAATACGTATCTCCAAAAGAGATCTTACTGTTGACAAAGATGTAGAACATAATCTGAAAGAGCACATAGACCACCATTTGTTTTAATTCCATGCGGATAAAATCACAGGCGACAGTTAGTATGCGTAATTATTTTACTTAAGATTCCACATGCATTCAAAGAAATAATTTGCACTCTCGGATTCAAGATTTAATATTGATAAACTGATTTATCTCGGTTACAGAATAAACCACGTGTTTATTTGTAAATCTTTAGGACCTTTTGCAGCATTTGCCATTTAACAGATAGATGTATGAACACGTTTCTTGGCATTGGCACGATTGCTATCGAAAAACGACCACCAATTGCTTATTATTATTTCGTGAATATTTTGTATTTTTGATGTTCTTTATCTAGATTTTAATAGAAAATAGAGTGTCAAAATCATTACTTTCATTTATAATAAAGAAAACATTTAGTTCTTCTATCGATATACCATAAATAACTAAAAACAACATTATTATTTAAAATTAGCGGCAGGTGTGGG